TGCAGTTTTGAGCATTTTGTAGATATCTTATTTCCTTACMAAATTGTACATATGAAAATAAATTGAAAATCTGTAACAATTAAGTAAAAATTGTTATTTAAAATATTCAATTTGATTAAAACTTTAACAGGTAAACATAACAACCTACTAAGTAAAATTGAAAATTGTCTTTTTATGTAGATAATATAATCTTTTCTAGTGACATAGACAAACAATATATTAGATAACAACATTTAAGTCAAGTAAATTATTATCTAAACTTAAATAAGTACCCATGATAATTAGAACACTGCTAATAACTAATATTATAACAATTCAGATTTCAATAAATAATTTTCCAACAGTGTTTATGTTTTAAAAATACACATAAGTATAATTGGCGATTAACAAATATAATTCAAGTTATGTACAATTCAATGATCATAACCTCATAACATTTTAATAAGGGTTTGATAACAAGAAACAACTGACTTTAAGTAATTCAATACATTCCTTTTTTAAGCGCGTGTACTCATAATTATATATTACTACCATATAACTTATACAGAGTATAAGGTCTATGATTATTACTAGAAAATAACATAGTGCAATTTGTCAATTACATACTACATGAAATATAAGTATTTGTTTGTTTTTTCGTCTAAGAGTATCAAATTTGTCTTTCAAATGTATCAAACAACGGTTATCTAATAAAGTAATAAAATTCTGAAAATTTTCAATATATGTCTTACATTTTTAAATTCATATTGTTTGTTGATATTGTTAACATTTTAAAATTCTAAATAGGTACCCAAATTCAAAAATCTAAATTCTTAGGGTATGTTATAAGCTAAAAATAGGTCTTTATCACAAATTCAAATAYGCTCTCATTTTTATCTGATAATAAGGGTCAATATAATTACTAATTAGCTTAAGTTAAGTCTATTTTGATATAAAATACAGACAGGATTGAATCCTCTTAAGATCTGCCAACAAAAYATTGTAGACTTAAATCATTGACTTTAAATAAAGATTGGGATTTAACAGTGTCATAAATGCATAAAAACTAAGGGGGGGGGAAATAATTTATCAATAAATTTCACATGATGAGCCCTTCTACTTCTAGTTGAAATATATTATTATACTATTTATGATGAATTTTTGGTTTTTATATGTCTCAAAACTCATTTTATATTCTAGAAACAAATTGTTGGTACCATTATTAATTAATAATACTAAGTACAGAAGAATTCATTAATTAAAAAAAATTGCATATCTGAAAGGCGATAAAATTATACCTTTAAATTAAATAGCGGTATACATATATTTGTTTTAAGAATAAATGAATAAAACATTTTTGTTTTCAATTTTTATTATAACGCTCCAATATGAATAGTTTTCAGGTAAATATGATCATATTCTTATATTAAACGAGAATAACATTCAGAGGATATTATTCATACATATATATCAAATGATTTGCCAGATTCATAGCGAGATAATTTAGAACACTATTTATAATACCCATCATATAAATTTTTTTTTTTAAACATGATAAGTAATTCATTTTGTAGTATATATGTTATAAGAACAATTATTGTATTACTACACAGGCGCAAATATATATTAGGTTCCATGTAATAATATGATCTTGTGAACAATCGAATAACAAATAATTGGAACATCTGATTGATGGTCGGTGTAAATTAGAACCTAAAGAATCTTATATTGTTTGTGTAATATTACATTTATTTTTGTATATAGATGAGTTTTTGAAAAATAATTTACTACAATATATTGTATATATTAATGTATAATACAATGATAAATAATGATCAAAGTGAGTGGAATAATGCGACACTTTTGTTATGATAATTGAAATATTTAGTTAAATAAACATTTAAAAATAAGAATAAAACACCTTGTGTAATTAATACAGGATATTATATAGAAATAGTATAAATTTATATTGCAACTGTACACACTCTCCGTGAGTGCAATTTCATTTATAAAATAATAAGATTTACATAATATAAAAAAAAAATTAACTACAGTAGGGTGTTTGTGCACTAGTTTGTGCTATACAATTAACACACCTACTAGTTGTTTGATTATTCTATAAAATAAAACATAAAATGAACTATTATTATTATTATTATTATTGTTATTCATTTACATTCTTAGTAACTTGGGTCCAATATATATTATTTCATTATTTTATTATCGTATTATTTGCTTTTAGAATCTAGACTAAGTAAAAAAAAATAATAATAATAATAATAATAAATAATAATAAAATAAATAATACATTGATAAATAAAAATAATATATGCATGTATATAGACATATAAAGTAAGATTATATAAATTATTAATTATTAAAACGGGTTTAACAATATATAGAAAGCAATATTATACAGTATGGTTAGAGAAACACACTTAATATGTCTTGYATAATTAAGCTAGTTCTATGGTTTGGACAACACACAGAACACAATATACAATATGTTTATTAAGAAGACCAAAATGGTTCAAATATATTATAATAAACATTTTATATCAGTTCGGATACAATATAAATTTTCTCTTTTCTTTTTGTGTAACTCAAATTATTGTTAAATGTATAATTAGATAGAAAATAATAATTAATATTAACATTTACACGTTTAAGAAGAAATATATATATATATATATATATAAACAGTAATATTAAATTAAATAATTAAACCACCAATGAAAGTTTTACTATTCTACTAACAATAATATTGTCTGTAAATTGGTTCCATTGATTTGTTTTTTTATAAGCATAAAATAAATAAAAGTAAAYAATTACTTCAAACTTTTTATTTTAAATAAATTAATCTTGTCAATATTAAGGGAATTAAGGATCATACTTTAAATGAATATACTAAATATTGGCCTACAAACACTTATATGTTAAATATATATAAATGCATAAATGGTACCTATAATTACACTTCTGTAATCTTTTAATAAATACATACACAGAATTATTTATATATATATATATATATTTTAATATATAATTATAAACATTTATTTTTTATTTATATGTATTTGAACATCCTTACAATTATGGATTTGTTAAGTAATATTTATTAAACAACTATTAGAATTGAAAATTGTTAACAAGTCGAAATACATATATTATAGTAAAAAAAAAAATTAAATTTAAGTAAATGCTAAATTTTTCTAAGCTACAAACATCAATTTATTTAGTGTCAAAAAATGTTGTTTATATGAACAGAAGAATAAAGAATTTTTATTTTTATTCTATTGTATTTTAGACACATTAACTAAAAAGGAGTACCTTGTGTGATTGTAAAAATTTTGTAATAACAGAAGTTATAAATGATTATGTTTGTTCGTTATCACAAGAATATTATTGTGCGTCATACGTATGGGTACAGTATACGGAACTATGACCATTATTTTTAAATTCAAATTAATTTAGGATGCATGATCAATGTTTTTAATCAAAAAAAAATTGTCTTATGAATAGATACATCAATAAGGAATTGTGTAATCAATGTTTTTAGTCAAAAAAATTTGTCTTATGAGTAGATACATCAATTAGGAATTATATGATCAATGATTTAGTTGAAAACATTTTTCTTACAAATAGGATAGTACCTATTAGCTTCCCATTGCGCAAACATGGAGTAATATAAAACTATGTCTTGAATGAATATATTAAGGTTTTAAACTATTTGATAAAAAATAATTTAAATCCCATGTTTTCCAGATAGAATATTAATTATCAAATTGTCTTTATGTAATAGTTATAACTTAATAAATTTAGTAAATGTTTAACAATATAAATTAAGATCGTGAAGGATAGTAAAGCACACATATCTTGAAAAAACTCGTCATGTTTTAACAGGTAGACCTATTTTACTTATAAATGGTGTTTAATTTTAACCCTGGATGATTGAAAACGCGATTTAAAAAAATTAATAAGATAATATAATAATAATTTTAAGCTCAATAATTAAGAAAAAGACCAACTAAAATAATATTTAAACTAGATTTTGGTCTAAATAAATATTTATATTCAATTCAAATTTACAAAAGTTATAGTTGTTTAAGTACACTCAAAACCCAGAAGTTTTAAAATTTTAACAGACAAACGGTTTTTAATATGCTACATTATTTTAGTTGGTTATTCAGTTATTTTATAATTGATGAGCTAAAAAAAAAAAAACGGGCCATTTATAATATTGAAAAAAGAATTGTTTAAAAATATTACTTCTAAAATAATGGATAAATATATATTTTTAAGTTTGTGTATTATATGCCATGGAAGGGTTGAGTTTATGGTGTTTCCAAAGTTGATGAATAATTCAATGAATTCATTATTTCGCCACGGTTGATTTATTGCAAATCTAAACCTGAAGAAACCAAATAACCAAGAAACAACAGTTATTATTGGCAGCATTAGTTTTAAAACAATCACAATTTTATTATTGAAATGTTTGTTAATGAGAAAACAAAATAATGATTGATGAGTTATAAACTTTATATTGAAAAATGATAGGTAGCAGATTTTATTTATAGATGAAATTTATGTTTAAATTAATGTTGGCACTTTTATGGAAAACTGTGTTAAGAATAAAAATTATTTAAATAACATTTCAAAAATAGAGAAAAAGTATTTTTTTTAAATTGTTAGTAGAAAAATCAAGGATTATTGACACATTAGATTTACAAACAAAAACGGCCAATTACACATTGTTGTTAATTTGTGTAAATGTTTAATATTTAATGGTATTTACATAAATCCGGGCCACAGAAAATATTACAATTTTGGCTATATCCAATAATGAACAATAAAATAATAATAATCATAATAATAATAATTAGGTACTTATAAATTAAAAAAAAAAGTACAAAAGCAATTTGGAAAAGTCGATTTAGCCATTTAAAATAAAAATTAGTAAGCAATAACAAATTTAGTATTGACTCATAAAACAATATTTTTACCACATTCTTAAACATTCCTTTTTTTTTCTACGTGGATTGTTGGCATTGATTGTTGTTTTATCATTGTTATTAAGCTATTTAAAGAAGAGCGCATAGAGACTTCTTTTTTTGTTTCTGTTTTTTCTCTGGACTTTTTTTGTTGATCTGTCTCACTAAGTCATAGAATATCTAAAACAAATAAATATTCATTTTTAACATAATTCATTTAATTATCCAACTAACATGAAAAAACAAACTAATATTTTGTACATTAATGCAGTTATAATAATTAGTATGAATGATGTTTTTGGAATTAAATTAGTATAAATATGTATGAAAAATAACTGTGTTCATAATCATGCAAAGCAATTTCATTTCATCTTATGTGATAGTAGCACATATGATTCTAGTTATAAAAACAAAAATTAAGAATTTACATTCACATAAACCCAAGTGTATATATACACGTTTTGATGTTTATAATAGTGTACCTGATAAAAATTAAATTTATTTTGACATTTCAGTTACTTATAGTATTACATTCTTACTAGAAAGATAAGTAGTTTAATTTTTATACTATAATAAAGTTACTAATTCTGACAATAAGGTAGGATAATAGTAATAGTTACATTAATAAAAGGTAATACTGTTAATATCAAAACATTGAAAGAAATAAGTTTTTTGTAGCACAAAAAATTCAACATTTTTTAAATATGTATAATAAATAAATAAAATCAGTAATAGAAGAATTACTTTTCTATATTAAATCAATACAAATAAATAGTTTATTCTAATATTTTTGATAAAAATGTACACTACTAATTTATTAAAATACTCACACTTTGATGTTTCTAAAAAAAAAAAAAAATAAATATAATAAAGGGAATGAAATTAACATATTGATATACATATAAGCAAACCATGTCTATTTAACTACTATACTATCAAYCAAATAAAATACACACACACACTTTTATTTATGTATAATTATATTATTATTGCATCTTTATACTTACATCAATGACATTGATTTTAGCCTTAGCGGATGTTTCCATAAAAGCGCAATTGAATTGACGAGCAAGATTCACTCCATGTTCTTTACCGACTACTCTTTCTTCTTCTAAATCACACTTGTTTCCCACTAATACCATGGGGACATCATCAGTGTCCTAATTGTATTTATTTTAATATATTAATATAGGTATGTTTACATTATAAATTTAAAAATGAATTTACCTTTACTCTTAAAATTTGTTCTCTTAAATCTTGTAAGTCATTAAATGTTGATTGTGCTGTGATAGAATATACGAGAACAAATCCTTGGCCATTTTTCATGTACAAATCTCTCATTGCTGTAAATTGTTCCTGTTAACAAATAACCATGTAAACATCAATATATGCATTTTTCCTATGCATTGATACAACTTAATTGACATAAAAATATTTATTTTTGTCACCTGTATTGAACCTAGTCTGTTTATAAATTTAAACAATTATGAATAAGTCCATAACTAAATTCAAAAACAAACTTGACCTTTTTTTTACAGTAGACAAAAAATTGTTTGTGAAGGAATGAAAAGAATAATTTTATAAACATTTTATTACGATTAATTTCTGCAAAGTAATAACTCTAATATATATACATAGAGCTAGGATCTTGCAGTTCAAAATCAATTAAACATGGCGACGCAAAGTAATTTGAAGTTTTCACACTACTAATGATCAATAGGTACATATAGGTACAATAGGTATATGTATACTAACCTAACCATAGTCCATAAATTATATATTAATCAATTTAACTTAACTTTCATTTTTAAATTAAAAAATAAGCATWTACCTAAATAATAATAAAATTAAGATAGTGTTATTAGTAGATGCCAGAATATTATTTTCTTAAAACAATTTAAATTATTCTTTCAAATTTTATAAATAAAGTTGTATCTACTTATTTAAAAAAATTAATAACATTTATCATAAAAATAAAATTCAATTAAATATAAAGAAGCCATTTAAAACTACAAATTCAAAACTATTAACATATTTTTTTAATGTGGGATTCCATAGTAGGAAAATTGTTGTAATTTTTCTTGCTTACCCTATATTTAAGCACTTATAACAACTTCAAAGTTTCTTAAATCATCTTATAATTTTTATTAATAAAAGAAAATATTACAAACATCAATAGAAATTTTTAAGTTATTAGACAGTATAACTGTACGTCTATTATTAAAATTACTCTAATGTGTTCACTTATTAAAGTAAACTTCCTAATTTAGACTTCAAATTGATATGTTTGAATTGCCAGTTACACTTGAAACTTAACTTGTAACTTTAATACAAAACCATTTTATTTACTGCRAATTTGAGATCAAAAGAATAATTGAAATATGTGTACTAAGTCATAACATAAACTAGATTCCTTCAATTAATAAATACAATCAGTATAATATTTAATAATTGGTCACAGCAAGGCGCCAAAACTTTCATTATTTAAAGTTTTATTAAACTAGGTAAATTAACTAATTAGTTTACAATACATCATCTTRAAATGGGATGAAAAATGAAACTTCTCATTTTTTTATACTAAATATAGGTACAGTAAAACTTTAGTAAAACGTATCAAGCGATTCTGTCATTACAAGGTTTAACTGTATTTATAAATATTTTTCAGTATTAAATAGTAAATTATGTACAATTTTATAGAATATATGTTTTTTAATACATACTGTTCCAGCTGTATCAAGAATTTCAAGCATGCATTGCTGTCCATCCACTTCAACTTGTTTACGGTAACTGTCTTCTATGGTTGGATCATACTTCTCAACAAATATACCTTGCACAAATTGCACAGTCAATGCAGATTTACCAACTCCACCACTACCCAGAACAACTATTTTGTATTCCCGCATTTTAATTGAGATGGTCTCAAATATATACTAAATGCTTAAAATGTGTAATTTAGGTGCTGAAACAAAAAAAAAAATTTCCCTAATCAATAAACAACAAATTATTTATTAATATAATGTTAATTAAAATAAGTTAATRTATAACTTATGAAAATGATGTTTATGAAAATAATAGACAATAAAATTAAAAACGCATGTTGGTAGATAATATTTAATTAAAATAGCCTGTATATTAAGGCCAATGCTTAGTTAAAKATAAAATGGTTAGATAGAGCTACTTATAATATAGATAGGTAGGACAATGGCTAAGGTAAGCAATACTATTTTACCATTTTACTGGGTAATAGTTGATGGAATTCCTAAAAAATAAATAGCTTTATTTAGTTAATAATGTCACTTAAAATATTATGAAATGCCGAGTGAAATACCTATATTATTTAAATAAAAAAATAGAAATATTTACTAAATACTTGGGTTTTTAAAACGTGTAATGACCTAAATGTATTTATTTTAAGAAACAAAAAATAATATCTATTGATATTAGATACCTATATAATGAACACAAGAATGAGGAATGAGGCCAATAACTTTAGACCAACGGTTCCCAAACTGTGCACCGTGAGCACATTCTAAGAGCACCGCGGTCTATAGCTTATAATAAATAATTTAAAATGTATAGAACTTTTTCGCAACAATTTGTTATTAATAAGTATTTTTTTTTGCTGCTATTTATGGTATTCACAGGAACTGTGACTATATTTTATCCAAAAAAGGAAATCGCTGCTTTAATCAATAGGGTTAATCATTGTAAGTCAAAAGTATTAAAAATGTTTAAATTTAGTTCAGACTATATTTTGAGTTAAGAAGATGTGATACCCGCATGTGTTTTCTTTGTCTTACAAGTGCGTAACATAGCAAATTTTACRCTCAGCAGAACACATGTAGCTCTGTTATTTAAAAATTTAGAGTGAATTGACCTCTAATAAAATGTAAAGGTAAGATTATTATTTAGATAAGGATACTTTTATCATATTTTAATTTTGTAGTGAGTTACGAGTTTTWTWAAAATTGTAAATAGTTTTCATATCTTGAAATACTCATAACTCGTATCTCGTCCTCTTAAAGACAATTGATAAGAATATTTTAACATTAACATGTTTTTGGGCTGGGTACGTTTTTTTGTTTCTGACCAAATTTTAGTAAGGTTGTCATGGTTACATATTAACAAATGTTTATATTTACGATTCATAAATTACTAAAAAAAAATGTTGGTATATACCTAATAAAAATATTTTTAAACTAAACATTGTGCATGTGAAATATATTTACAAGCAATTTTGGTATTCATGTCATATGCGGTCTACTGCCGCGTATCTATATATATTTTTTTGATCATTATTTTGGTTTAAAACTTTGAATTATTAATAAAATGCATGGTACATCTCCATCATTACTGCCCTCATATTTGGCGGAACAATGGTGGTGTCTAAAAAACAAGAATGACAATACATTTGATCCTTTTTTAAGAGATGTGAAATTATATTGTACCTAATTAAAATTGATTAATGCATATCTCTATATAATTTTACATTTTTTGTCAATTAATTTTTAATTTATATACTAATTAAATTTATCTACATATTTTTTTGTATTATTWAATATTATATTGAAATTCTACATTAATACATATATTGTAATCCTACATTAATGTCTTCATTCATATTTTTAACTATGKGGTAGACGACAAATGTGCGTTAGAAACGGGCGGTGGACCACATACCTACAACATGAATACCGCAATTTTAACATGTTTATCATAATTTGTGTTGAACAAAAACCTATAAAGTAATACTAGGTTAAAACAATAAATACCATGTTTGATTAGTAAATTTTAAACCAACATATTATACTAAAAGGATGTAACGCCACCATTTTTTGTCTTTGTCTACAAGTGTGTAACATGGAAAAATTACACAAAAACAGATCACGTTTAGCTTTGATAATTTAAAAATTAGAGTGAATCAACCTATTTTGAAACTTGATGGTAAGAACATTATCTGTGTTTGTGTGAGGATTTTTTWAAGATATTTCAGTCTTTCAGTGAATTATTTTCACTAAGTATTTTTAATTTATGCTATATTATATATGCAAGACTTGCTATTGAACTATTGTAAAACATTGAGAAATTAACACAGAAAACATTCTTACCATCAAGTTTCATAATAGGTCATTTAACTCTAATTTTTAAATTAATAAAACATGATATACTGAACATAAATTTGCAATGTTTTGCMCTTGTAAAACGGAGACAAAAAATGCCAGTATCATATCCTCTCAACAGCAATAGTTTTTTTTTTTTAAATATAGAAAATCAATTATTCACTAACTAAATACATTAATAACGAGTTGCATGAATAATCACTTAACATTTCACCAATCAATGATAAGCTAAGGCTTAAACAAGATTTAGTGAGACACATGATTCTGCCATTAAATTTTATTTAACTATTTTAACTATTTTAATTAATATATTTATCATGCAACCCGTTGATAATTTTGTTTAAACACTTCAACACATTAACCACCATAATATGACTGCCGGCGGTCATCTGTAATTCTCAGACTGTATACGTTTGTGACACTCATAATTAGGGCTCGGATGTTGTTGCACTAAAAATGTTATAAAATTGATTCCATTATTGCTGTGAAAAAAAACCCAAAATTGCACTTAAAAATTGCAATAAAAAAATATTTTGTACCAAAAAAATAAAAAAAATATATTAACAAATTATTTTATGAAATGGATTAAGTTATTTTATTAAGTTATATTATAAAGTTTTATTAGATGGGTTTTAATCGAGTAGATAATAAAAAAAGATTTAAATTCAAATTCTTGTCAGTTGTCATTAAAAATCTGGTAAATTGTACGGTCTTCTTATTTTTTCAGAAATCTACAAATAATTTTATCAAAATTTAAAACTTTTTAATTAAACTAGGTATTTTTGATTTCTTTATTTAAAAAAACATTACCTCACCTTAAAAATTATTGCACTGTATAATCTAACAAATAAAAGTGAAAACATAAAAAAATATATAAAATTGTATTGAAAACGACAGCAATCAACAAAATTGAAAAAAAGGTCAAAAATTGCAAAAAGTTGAAATATAATTTAAAAATATAGTTTAAATCCAAATTAATTTACGGCAGCCCGCGGCCATATGGCCTCCTGCGAATTATATGGTGCGGCTGCCGGCGGTCTAAAAATTACCAATATCTAATTATTATTATATATGGACGCCGGCAGCCACATGGCAGTCAACGTGTTAATAAATGTTTTTTTCTTGGTAATTTTTATTCTAATTTGATCCTACAAAGTATAAAATCAGGTAATTCTTACAGTATTTATTAGATCCATTCTGATATTGTTTTATAAAACTTTTATAGATTATGCTGTTATTATCGTAGGTCAGCAGACCAACTAATTTAAGCCTTTGCCATGCCAGCAATAATTTCTGAGATAGATAATCACTTGGAAACCAAAAATTGACATAAAATTAAAATAAGTATTTAAATATTTAATATGTAAGTATTTTATTTCAAACACACTTAATTATAGATTTAATCTGAGGTTTAGTGACTATCAGAAAATGTATAGAACTATTTTAGAGTTAGACGGCGGCGTAACACTATTCTGATAACAACTGTACATAGTTATGTATATTTAACACTGCATTTTTAAAAAACAGATAGTGAGACACATATACAAACAAGTGATGATGGTGCAAAATTGAAAAACATTAGTTAACTAATAACAGTGAGTGAATGGTTCATATTTTTTATATTATTTAAATACATAGGTACTTTAGACAATAAATACAAAATGTACTTAATTCTAATAAAAAAAACAGGTATAGAAATCAGGCCAGTATTGAAGCGACGAGCTACCAGGAAAATCTTGGAGGGCCGCTCAAAAAAAAWAGGGCGATCGTAAGTGATTGGGCAATTATTTCATCATATAAATTTGAATACATTAATTAACCTTGGTGCACTGTGTAAAATCTAGATCAATTTAGAAATGTTCATTTGAAAATGGACCTTTTAAGGTCGGATAAAAATTTAAACTCKGAGAGCTGAAACCTTGTCTATCTGGCGCTAATTGAAATAGTTATAACAATTAAAAATATAAGTCATTGAAGATGTCATGAAACAACTAGGCACTTCAGTAAATTACAAATGTACTTAAATATAAATAAATGGTATACAACGAACCTAGCCCAGTACATTGGTTTAATATTGATGACAATTATACATAATTTGTATCAAAGTTAATTTTGTAATTGATTACAAATAAAAACGTCCAAAAAAAATATCTGGAATATCCAATTATTACAGTTGGTGTGAAGAAATAGTAGGTAGGTACCCAATTGTACGTTGATGAACAACGAGTTGTGCTCTGGATACAACCTTTCCGAATGATTAAGAAAAAAATGGGAAGTTGGAACACGAAAAAATCTTTACAGCTTTGACCATCACTCATTTTGGAATGACGAACGATGTCCRTGGTGGTTCTATAACCAAAAGGATCAACAACGAGGGGCGGGGTATGCGAAAATAATTTTGTACAGACTCGTGTTTGTGAAGCTACATACCAATAATACCAGCAAGAATCGATCCGATCACGAGGCGTCGTGAATATTATATGCGAAGAACGAAACACGAAAGAAAAAAATATTGAAGAGCAAACACAACACTAGCGAGAACAAACGACGGAAACGACGGCGTTTTGGCGTGCTGCGTGCTGATAAGACTACTCGATTGACCGGAGCGGAGCGGACGCGAACGGCAGATAGATGGGTGGTTAGGGGCAGGGAGGGGTCGATGAGAAACGCTAATAACTGAATAATATTAATGAAAATATCGAAACAGAAAATCTCATGAAGTCCGTCCGTGTCACGGTTGTTCACGTACGGTTAATATAAAACGTCGCCGGACGGGTGTGAGACGATGTTGAGTGTCGGCGTACCTACCGGTGAACGATGTTAGACGTGAAAAGGAAACGGCACGACCGGAAACGTATCGGATGGGCGGACGATATCCGCTGATCGCACACAATCGACGACAATAGTTAGATTAATTATATAATAGGTGTGCTTATGTAATAATAACAATAAAATAATAATCCATGCAACGTTATTGTTGGAGTGCGAATGTAAGTCGACGTACCTGTGAACTCAGAGAAGGGTGTAGCGGCGACAGCAGTAGACAGACGGCGATCCCATGCAAAGCGAACGCTATCGGAGGGGAAAAAGCGGAAAGAAACAAATCGTAATAATGATGATAGTAGTAATAATAATAATAACGACAACTAAACGAGATTAATAACTGTGCGAGTGGTCGGGCGAGTCGGTGTCGGGACTCGGGATCGCGTTATGATGGTAATGTATCAGCGTACACGACCGACGGACGCACTCACACACACACAAACAAACGTTCGCGCACGCACGCACGTACACACACACACACACGTACACACACACACACACACACACACACAAGACACAACACGCACCGTGCTATGTGAACGATGCGGTTTTTTACGACCGAATGACTGACGACGGGTGACGACTGACGACGACGACGCTGGTGCTGCTGCTGTCGGTACTCGGCCGAGTCGGTCGAATGTCGGATCGGGCGGATCGACGCGACCTCGGCCAAGCGTACAGTAAATCGCTGCGCGGTCAAATATTATTTTAGTATGTAATGTTACGTTTACTTCGATGTTTTACTTTTGTCATAACAATAAATCTCTTTTTGTTATCGCTGTTKCCGTCCCACGGCCAGTCGCTAATGTCGGTTTGGCCGATATCGTTTAAATTATTATTTAGTTAATAATATTATTACCATATAGTGGTTGTGGTTTCTACAGCAGTATAAATTATAATGTTARGTTATAGGTATAATAATTATGTGTACAGCAACTGAGCAACAAGGGCGCTTTAAACACTCGCAACCGAGTGATTAATGTGGCTCATTTTTGGGGAACGGATGGAAAAAATATTATGTCGATTATTGATTATAATTACAATAATAATAATAATAATAATTCGTAAACCGATTACAATGTAATATTATTATTATTATTATTATTATTGTTATATTCGAATTTTCGGTGTGTCTGTTTGAGTGTATGTATTTGTAAAGGCACACGGGGAGCGTATTTGTGCGCGTGTTTGCGTCCGGCGTCGTGCGTGCGCGCGCATGTGATATTGCATCGGACGCCCTGCAAAGGTTACCGACTACCGAGTTAGCGATACCCCATCCTATCACCGCCTCACCGGTAACAAGGCGAGCCTGTCGAAAAACACGGTTATATTTTTACCATCCGCGTACCGAGAGCAGTGCTGCTTGCTGCTGCTACTGTACTCAGTATGTAATATTAATAGGTATATTACGTGCATAGTACATATAATATGTAAAATATGTATACAGTATACTGTAAGTCTGTTTACTAGTRCAGTAGTACGCTGCACTAGGGTGCTCAGATGATATTCTGTCGGCTGTTTTTAATATGATGAAAGGCTATTTATAGTATATAAATGTATTTTATCGATCTTAAGCCCGGCGACTAAGGCCATTAGCTGTTGGTGTTATAAACTGTGGTAGGGGTAAGGTTTGGTACGGTATGTTGTTTTTACTGTTGTTACGGTAGGTAGTAAACACGTATATTTTGTACAAGGTTTTTAACTACTATGAACCCGGGCGGCCACCCATCCGGGAGCTTGTAGCTTGCTGTGGCCGTTACTTACTCCTAGTCGCATTTCGCGATTGGTAGCAGCCAACGCACCACGTCAAGCCATAAATTAAAATGTATGTAACTACTTTCCTACTTTTTGAAACATCGTGTGTAATTTATAAATGCACCTATTATTAATTCCTTCTAATCTATAGATGTTGCTATTTAAATTATAAAAATATAAAAATAATAAATATCTTGAAATAATCTCTTCAAATATCTTGAAAATTTAATACAATAAGGTTCGTCATAAGTTGTTATTAGTATAATTGTTTAAAAAAAGTTGAGTTTACAATCATTTTTTATTGAATTTGTAAATTAGTGCTTTAGGATTTTTAAACATTAAAAATTAAAATAACATAAATATTATTTTATTTCACACAAGTTGTACAATGTATTTGTTGCCTATAGTAACATGTGTGTGTATAATATTTCTAATGATTTTAAACTTTGCAATTTTTCAAAAACACATTTTTAATGGAACACAATTGCCCATTGAATAAAATTCAACTCGGTAAGTAAAGGTATCACATTAATTTAAGTAAAGTTCTATTAACAATAAACAATAGTTATTCCACAATAATTTGTAGTTTGTTAATATAATATATTAATATGTTTATACTTTATGTGATAGTTATGACATATCTGGGTGCCTAAAAATAGGTAGGTATTAAAAAAATTTTATTTTTAAATTTTTGACTCGAGAAAAAAATTGAGGACTACGTGAGTTCTATATTCCTGGTTTCTGTATTATGCGTACCTGCATATTTGTTTAATTTGTAATTTATTTTTCAACCAGTGTGGTATTCATTTACTTGGCTAACATAAATAGATATTTGGTAGGTACATACTAATATATTTATTTATTTATTCGTATAACTTTATAATGAATGGAAACACTAAAATATTTTCTCATCAAATACATTTCATGTTAAATTAAATTATTACTATTACTATTATTAACGAATATATTATATAACATATAGGCTACCTACCTATAGCCTATATTCTATGACTCTATGTCTCTAAATGTTATATATATATATAGATATATAATATATTATATTTAATATTGAGTATTAATACATGAACAATTTAAGATTATTACTTATTTTTATTTGTTGATATACTAAACATTATTTTAATATATTTTATATTCATTCCGAACTTCGATATAATATTAATTTACTTTTAATTTTTTTTTATTCTAATATTAAAATTCAGATTACTCATTTGGTTATGACTTTATTTTTTGTGACAATACAGACAAAAAAATAAATAAAATAGTGAACATTAAAAACATGGTTATATTTTATAAGTTATAAGTTATATGTAAAAACGATTTATTGGTGTCAAACAAAAGTAAAAAAATCTCAGAGTAGAATCTCTAACTTTTCTTAATTGTATTATGGCCGATCACTTCTAACCTATTTTAATTCCTCATAAATCATAAACCTGGATTCACACTTACACCAAAATTGATATTGTTAGCCACAGCAACGAATCGATAGAAGAGCGAGACAAACACAGTATATAAGGTATTCTGTATACCTATACACGTATAGAATAGAACCCACTACATAGATAAATTTAGAACACTTTTTACACTCTACACAGATCATARAATGTTTGAAATTATGAAACACTTTAAAACTTAAAATATTTTTTCCTATAGGATATCATACCTGGAATTTGCTTCATACTTTGGTGGCAAACTATCCGCACGAACCTTCACCCCAAAAACAGGAAGATGTAAATCAATTTTTTAAGCTACTCGGCCGTCTGTATCCTTGTCAAGCATGTGGTCGTGATTTTTCTCATCTGTAAGTAATGGGCATATATTATGATATTGTAGAACTGGTTTTTAGGTTATTAGGTACCTCGTGTGCCAGTAATAATAATATAGGTCAAAACAAATACTCCTTATATGATTGGTAAACATTACATTTTTCAAATATCGATCTAGTGTTTTTATTAATAGGTTAACCCTACGACCACCAGTTACTACATCGCAAAATACATTATCTCAATGGCTATGTTCTATACATAATGATGTGAACCAAAAAATTGGAAAATCATTTTTTGATTGTAACAAAGTAAACGAAAGATGGAGGGATGGGTGGAATGATGGAAGCTGTGATTAAAAAATAAATTTATAACACATACCTATGCGTGTTATATTTATATAATTTTATTATTAGACACATAGGTAAATAACATATTATTTATTTTAGAAATTATAATATAGCTTGAGATTTTAATCTATATAGGTTATAGGTATATGTTAGAAACGTTGTAGTAAAAGGTAAAATACTATACTATGGATAGTAATTATAATAGTAAGCTCATTGGTATTATATTTATTTTATATAATTAAATGAATTATGATGTAGAAGTAGAACAACAGCATATACAGATAAATTATAATGGATATTGGATAGTATTTATAGGTAAACCGTACACATTAAACAGAAAAAATATATAATGAAATTATAACTATAATATGTCAATATATTTTAGTTACTAATTTTAAATTTTAAAGATATTTTATTATATTACAATTACTACCTACTACCTAAATTTTAAAGTAACCGACTACCGAGCTAAACATGATCTGCTGAGCGTAAAATGTTCTATGTTACGCACTTGTAAGACGGAGATATCCCATGTGGATATCACACCCTCTTAATAGATACTATAATGAATGTAATGGTATTCTTATTTAGTTTGTATTCAGTCATCGTCTTTTGTTGCAGTTAAAATGCTTCAAAACTTTGATGGTGATTTCAGGTAGAAAATTKGATTGATCTTTTTACCATTTTGAATCGCGGACGTTTCGCCCACGCCGTTTCATTCCCGTCTAAAAAACAAGTTTATAGACGCTTCGTCCCCGTCTATTATTAAGATAGGACATTTGGCCCCCGGGATTTATATAGATTTATTTATACTTACCCATAGGACGTTTGGCCCCCGGTTAGGTTAGGTACATTTATTACATTTATGACATTATCGATAGATATTTATCTTAATCGAAAGTTTTCTTATCGACAGATGATATTGCTCGACTATTATTTATTCGTCAGACRGCGGAAAAATGTTTTAAACTTTTTCTATTTATATTGTAAAGACTAAATAATATTTTATATCTACCCTGAAACTATAATAGTATATACACAGAGCACATTACGCAGTAATAGTTTGTCTGTGTCATTGTGCGTACGGCTTCAGTGAACTATGGAGGTGTTGACCACGAAAAGAAACAAGAAGAAATTAGTGCACAACGATTATATTTTATATTACAAACAA